CTGTCATCTCCTATATCTGCTGCTACATATTATCACCCCCCCCCAATTTGGTTCCCTTATGAATGCACACAATCCCATGTAGTTCAAATAACTAGGCCTTCTTGGACATTGGTTTATTAAACTCACACAAGTATAAGCAGTTCTCATTGGGCAGGAGCGGAGGTTCACATCTGCCCTTTTGAGCAGAGTCCTTTCTCTCTCCCCTTGAAGGGTGTCTCAGCCCCTTCTGGGCTCTACAATCAGCCTTTTGCTTGGTTCAAATAGTCTCTTATCCCTTGATGCAAGGTTCTCTAAAGCCCTTCTCCTAGGGTTTTCAGTGGAGCCAGCTGCAGGCTCCATAACCAGTCAGAGGGCTGATGGATTAGAATGGAAAGACCCACACTAAGACTTCACCAATTCCTAGGCTAGCCACCTGACCTACATAGAGAGCTCTTCCTCCTCCCAGTTCATTCCCTGACTCTGGCTCTCTTCTGTGCCTCAGAGGCAGGAAGCCTAAGTTATAACTGTTTTCCTATAGGTCACATGCTTCTCCCAGACACATGACCTGAGACTACAATTCCTAGTTTTAGAGGGCCCCATAACACACAGTGGGCTGAGCCCACATGCCCAAAGACAATTTCTCTGTTACAGTGGGCTTTATATTGCAAAGGACAGCGCATATCAAGCACTTCTTATCCCTGGTTCACGTACTCTGTTCTTTGGCCTATATTAACTTGTTTTGATTTCTGGCTATACTCAACAGCATTTATGTTTGTTTCTGTTGCATCACTCCACCAGCTCACAGTTGCAAAGCCAGACAAAGCAGGATGAACATACTACGAAGCTGTCTCAGGGAGTTTCTCCACTCTTATATGTACATTTTATTACCAAATCCTGTGGCAACATTTACAACTTACTCAATGTTGCCTACCCTTGGTCTTTTGTTGTGATATCTGGTGTTTTTCTTAAAGCCCCTCCCTCTTGGAGTCATGTGACTATGAAGTCTCACCTTTCATTGTAAAAAGTAGTAAGTTTCTAGCCCTCATAGTTAGAGGAAAATCTTAAAAATTTCACTAACGGTTCAAAAATCCAAAAGTAAATAAAAAGAATCCATCCCCCAACATTTTAAATAAATCTCATGATTTTAATCCTATTCATGATTTTTAGGGGCCTGACTCATGATGTTTGAATGCTTGGGTGTGAAACATTGGCACTTCAGGAGGGAGAAAGTCTAAACATTTACAAGAAAAACAAAAAAAAAATTAGCCATTTCAAACTCTCACCGACCAAGCTGTAAGGTAGGGGGTGGACAGTTTGCTATTAGACAGCTACGTTCTAAAAGATTTTTCTGAGAAATCACTGATAAATTTAAATATTCTGTAGTCTGTTGGAGACTAGCATTCCATCACCAGTGTCCAGACATTGTTCTGTATTTATTCCATAACCCACTGTTAATATTTCCAGGGCAGGTTGGCACAAAGTCAGATGCCTGAAGGGTTACAATGTGATAGCAAATGACGAGAATAGCCCTGAGATAGGTACAACCTATGGTCTGGCTTCTGCTACTGAAGTGATACCTTTTAATACAAATAAACAATGACAGTTTAAAAAAACAACTCAATCTTTTCATTGCTCTAGCTTGTTCAATGTTCATGTGTTCAATCAATAAATCTGCAAAGTCTCTCATTGTAATGTCCATTTTGCCAAGCCTAACCAATAGGGAAGTCTACTTAGATTTTCAGCAGCCCAAAATGTAGAATCAATAGGTTGAAAATATTCTTCCTTGTTTTTGCATATGAAATGTTTGTATTTCTCCCTGTGAGTTTTTCAATGTCAGGTTTTTAGTGCCTGGTATGGTAATGCGTACGCTGCATAATCATTGGCACATGTAGAAGAACCTTTCAAGGTCACCAGTGAATTGACCGAAGAGCTTTGTAAAGCTTTTAGTCAAGTCATGCAGATATAGAACAACCACTTAAATGTCTACAAATTGTCCACAAGTGGCTATAGTTTGTAGGTGGGGCTGGCCCAGCAGAATGTATTGTATTTCTATAAGCATCGCTTTCACAAGCTGGCTCTATAAATGTTATACAAAAGTGAAAACCCATCCTGTTTGCCCTCGCTGTTGCCAGCATAACATACTTGGGTAAAGGGATTGTGGCTGGAAGAAAATGGCATGGCCAGAATGCCTGTGCTAATCTGTTTTTTGGTTGCTTTTTTCCATCTCTTTCTAGCGTACACAGCCTGGAAGAATAAATTAAAGCAGCCCAGCTTTGTCTGTTCTAACAGCTCAGAGCAAAGAGCAGCACCAGGATCAGGGAAGTGCAATGATGAGCTGCAAGCCACCTTTGTCGTGTGCACAAAACCCCTGGTTTAGTTGTGTCCCAGGATCTGGTGTACGAGAGACAGAAAAAGGATGCCAAACTTGACTCACAATGAGCTGCTTTTTTCTAAACTCCCTTCACATAGTCTCACAAGGTTAGAAGGAGTAGCTTCCCCAGATGCGTTTTCTGGGCTGGATTATGGTTGTTTTTTTCTTAACCTGTCAAAGGAGAGAACCTTTTTATTGACAGCCAATCTGCCTCTGTCACAATGAAGTGTGGGCAGTGCCAAGAGTGCCCTGGATCTAAAATAGGTTGGGCAACTGAACAGGCTTCTCCCTTAGAAATATTTCTATTTGTATCTATAGAGTTAAATACTGAAAGAAGCTAAAAAAAGAATGTGCTCTAAGGGCCAGACACTGCTGCCCTTTCAAAGATTAATAAAAAAAGCATAAATTGAACACTTCTCCAGATCTCAGCATGTTACCAGATTGTGCTCTTTGATTTTCTCAGATGTGTGGAAGGGGTTAGTGCATCCCCTGATTCAGAAGGGCATTTAAGCACATCCTTAAGACTTCACTGGAACTTAGGCAGGTGCCTAAAACAAGTATTTTGCTGAATTGGGGCCCTAGTCCTTTAAGAATATATTGTTCCTACAGAGTGTCTTGTCCTGAGGCTTCAGAACACAAAGCTGAGAAGTAGTACTTGTCATTAGCATGTTTAATTGATTGTCAGAGTCAGGAACATAATCTAGACCTCTTGACATCAGTCCTATGTCTTAACCACAATACCTGATAATTATCTTTCTGTTAGAATCTAGTATCCCAAATCAAAAGGTATGAGCAAAGTCAGGCCAGACAAGGCAGAAGAAATATACTTCAGGAACAATCCTATCCCCCAGGGAGAGGACATAAATCACCAGGGACACCATTTAAAAATGGAATATTTGCCAAGTCTATGTATAGGAAATAAGGACACTATACCTATTAAATCAATGGAATTACTCCTGTGAATCAGGTCCTACTGCAGAATAACAGATGTTACTATGTGATAGTTCTGGGTAAATGTAAACATTTTATTAGTGATCAATTTAATACTGCAGATAGTTTCCTTATTTAGCTTCTGTAATCTTGTCCCTCTGTCATGTCTTCCAAAACTCTGAATGCGGTCTACACAACAAGAAGGTTAGAAAACTAATCTTCCCATCTGGAAGTTATGAATCTCTTATGGAATATTGCTATGATGAAGGTAGTGGAATGGATTCCACCTCCTCCCTTGAGAGTCAATCATCAGCTGGACTTCCACAAATTGATTCAGGTTTTTTTTGTTTTTTAAAACAGTGCCCAAAAGTTCAAGACACTTTGCAAACAAACAAACAAACCCACACAGTCCCTGCCCTAAAGAGATTAGGGTCTGGATGACATAAATTATACTAATTTCTGAACCTAACTGTTCATTTCAAATTTTACTTTATAGATTAGAATATTGCTTCCATGCGTTAGAAACATCCTCGCTGTCCCCTACTAGGGCATGATCCTACGCGCATTGAAATCAATGACAAGCCACATATTGACTTTAATGGTGCAGAATTAGACCCAGGAGGTGCTGTTTGAAGTCACTTTATGCTAACTGGACAGGACCCTTTAAACATTTTTCCTTGTATACTGTTTTTAAGAGGCAGACACTTATTCAGCACACAACAGTGGTCAAAGGCATTGGGCGAGACCCCCACAAAATAAA